CATACAGGATGAGCAATGAAGCATACATGATGATCATAGTGCTTACCAAATTCTTTAACATAAGGCTCTTAGCTGACACATTCTGGGAAACGAGGTCACTTGCTATCCTCTCATATCCTCGTTGGATGGCTTCTTCTGTTGGTTGACCCGTCCGTTTGTCAGTTTCGTATAAGAGCTGTAACAAAATATGAATGACGTTAAATTTTTAACATATGATAAGCATATTAAACTACAAATAAGTGATGAGTAAAAGAGTCTTACAAACACCGAGGAGGTGAAAAAATATTTCTTGTGCAAGTCATTTAGATGCAGCGACCAAACATCAATAATGTTATTGTACAGCTGCTCATCAATACGGAACGACTTCAAACTGTTCATGTCCAGATAAAGGTACATCACAGGTTCTTTTCCCATTGGTTTGGCTTCGTAGCTCATATACAGGGTCTCCCTGCACCAGAGTGTAGTTTAATAGGATGAACATTGTATTTTATCAGGACGTACATTGTAGTTTAACAGGATGCACATTGTCCTATTTTGCTTACCTGTTGAAGTCAAGCCCTTCACCGTCTGGTCCTGAGAAAATGAAGTCGGCAAGAATTTTCTGGATCGGTGTAATCTGTGTTAATTTCTTTCCTTCCTTCTTTTAGAACGGCAACCTGTACTTAATAGGTTTCTCACCCTCTGCATCGGTGAAAACACTTGAACACAAAAGAAATTTCACATGGTCAGATTTACTGTAGTTTTCAGAAAGTCAGGATGAACATCATACTTTAACAGGATGAGCATCCGTGTTTAACAGGATGAGCATCAGGGTCAGTTAAACATCATACTTTAACAGGATGAGCATCAGAGTTAATGAGTTGAATTTTAAATTTTTAAATGCATACCTATGAATGTACTTCTATACAGAATCTTGTTTTGTCTCAAGAGTTTGTGAACTTGGCGGCCTAGTGATTGGTGGAGTCGTTGGATGTTCGTCACGCTGGAAACTAATGGCAATTGCAACAGCCGTATGTTCTAGGCTAGTTATTGAGTTATCATGATGAAGATTCTTAGCACTGGAGTCTTTTTCTTCGGGAACATTGACATGTTGTTGCGAAAAACTTTTAGAAATATTCAATGACCAATTTGGCTCGTCAGAAAGTTCTAGGACTTTACTTTTGGCCTGTTGTATAACCTGGTCCATCGTCCTAATGCAATCAAACATTTTCGGAGATTTCCACCATTTCTCCATCTGTGTTGCAGTGTCAAAACCCCATACTTTTGGGTACGGTGGATTGTCATACTCGGGTATCTGAGAGCCATCTGCTTTTTGCTTTTGATTTTATTCAGCAGGAACTGAGTTGACTTCTTGATCTTCAGCCTTTTTCCCTGCATGAGCCGCCATTCTCTTCAAGACTTCGGCATAATCGTTGAAGAATTTATAGAACATGATGTGTCCATCTATGCCAGTTTCACTGGCTTCTTGAAACAACTGGCACAGGTCAAGGATAAGGCGCCCCATCCTGTTAACCATCACATGTTGGAACCTAGTTGCAAGATCCAATTCTTGAAGAGTAAAATGAAAATTGAATATCAGACAAAATCAATATCAGCATACAGGATGAGCGTCAAAGCATATAGGATGAGCGTCAAAGCATATAGGATGAGCGTCAAAGCATACAGGAGGAGCAACCACAAAAGAAATACAACAACCTTTAAACGAACAACTGAGTCTCATAGAATGAACGAAGGTCCAGAGATTGTATGTACCTTATCTTTTGTTGATGTATCTCTTTTATTTTCAGGTTGTGCCTGCGGATCATCAACTTTCCTCATCTCCTCGGCATGTGTGGGCTCATCCTCATCGATTCTTTCCGGTACCGCAATCCTGTCCAGTGGTTGCAACTTCCAAAGCCTGCACCCCTGTGTTCCGTGCTCACCCTTGTTGTAACTCGTGCGTTGTTCCAGTGAGCAATCACAGGAAACTGCCAGGGGATTCCATCCCCATCCTTATACTTAACTCTGTCCAAATAGCACAACTGCAATGTTTTATGGTACCAACATAATAATCAGTTATTTCACATACAAAATTAATAAAGAAGGAAAAAAATAAAGGAAAGTAAGTGAAATATACCAAGAGGAAGATCAGTGGCCCATTGAAAGCACCCTTAGGATTTCTCTGCTACTCTTGGACTGTGTCGTAGAGTCCCTTTGCCACATACTTGCACCAATTGTAATTTTTGATGTCATCGATGTTCATCAATAACTTCATCATTTGGTAGTGGCAACACGAATTCTTTGTTCTGAAGAGCATGCTAGCCATTATGAACAGAACAAAGTACCTACAGAAAAGTAGCACACAGGATGAGCAATGAATCATACAGGATGAGCATCGAAGCATACAGGATGAGCAATGAAACATACAGGACGAGCAATGAAGCATACACAATGAGCAACCAGAAAAACATTACAGCAACTTTTTGATAACATTGAAGCATACCTTTTGAATTCTTCTCCATACACTCGGTACCATTAAGATTCAGGAACTTTTTTCAGGTCAAAATCAGGATCACCCATTACAATGTAGTTCCCAATTTCGGTTGATTTGGGCGATCCCCAATTTGGGTCTTTCATTCTGAATGTCTCCCTCATCTGCCGGACAAGATTCCTGTACTCCTCTGAATCTTCGGACTTGTCTCTGGAATCATAGGCTTCAACTACTGTCTTTGGACCATGTGGTAGTCCAAGGACAACTTCTACATCTTCTTCTATGATCTTCAGTTCTTTTTTCCTGCCTGGAATCAACAACGTCTTGTCGCCGAACCTGAAATTGCTTAACAGGTAATGGGACAAGTTCGAGTAAAGAAATTTATTGATTCCTAGGCTCAAAAGGTGCCCGAAACCTATTTCTCGAACCATCTTTTTTTGGTCATCACTAAGGAAACCAAAAATTTTATGAGCTCCGGCCGGTGACACTCTGTTTAGACAATTGAAAATCTCTTCTTTGGATTCTTTATTTTTTGTGGTTTTCTCCTTCTTTGCTTATGTTTTTGCCACAACACCATCATTACCATCTTTTCTCTTCGTCTTTCTTCGAGCAGTGAGTGCCTTCATTTCTGCATCTGGCTTCTTGTCTGCTTCTTTTTCTGCCACAAGATGGTCACTATCATGTTTAGACTTCGTCCTTTGTTCTGTGGCAAGTGGTCTAGACGTTTGAGAATCTTCCTGCGTATACGATTGTGGAAAATGGTGTAGACTTTTGGGTGCAGTCTTCTTCTTTTCTTTTTTTTCAACACCGCCATCTTTCCTCTTCCTTTTTCTCTCTTTGACCTTCTTTTGGGATTCAACACTCTCTTGTTGAGACAGTAAATTATTGCGCCTTTCAATGAGTTGTGTGGAAGAGAGACTCTCGTCTTTATTGCCTCTCTTCACACTCTTATATTGATCTCTGTTGCATGAAAACATTCACATTAATAAAATGAACAACTGAGTTTCACTGGATGAGCAACAACTAAGTTTCACAGGATGAGCATCAAAGCATACAAGATGAGCATTACAGCATACATGATGAACAACCTAACATTCTCTGTCAAGATAAGCATCCAATCATACAGGATGAACATTACAGTATACAGGATGAACAACCTAACATTCTCTGTCAAGATAAGTATCGAATCATACAAGACGAGTAACAAAGCATACTGGATGAGCAACCATACAAACAATACAACGTTTAAATCCAGAAAAATTTACTCAGGACGAATAATGAAGCATGCAGGATGAATATCAAAGCTTGCATTATAGCATACAGGATGAACAACCTAACATTCTCTGTCAAGTAAAACATCGAATCATACATGATGAACATCAAAGCATACATGATGAGCAGCCACACAAACAATACAACAACGTTTAAATCCAGAAGAATTTATTCAGAATGAACAATACCTGTCATCTAAGCTTGTGCCTGATGACGACGCTAGGCTAGGCTCTGGTCTCTGGCGTAGCAATTATTGCTGCTCTAATTCTCATCCTCCAACCGTGAGTCTCTAGATCTAGATTTAATATGAACATCAAGGAATTTCAAAACCCTAATTCATAAAAAAATTCCAGTTCTGAGAAAAGAAATGTTCATTTCGGAAAATAGGATACTTACTCTGGTAATCGTGTGCTTGATTTTGTGCTTTTCACTGTCGGAAGATTCACCGAACGGAGTTTTTGAAATTTTCGGACAAAAAACAAAATTCACCGGACGAAGGTGTGAAGTGCACTTTTAAATGACCGAAGAGACGTTTCTAGCAGCTTTAACGGACGGAAACTCGAGGATTTGGGAGGAAACTCACTGGAGGAAGTTACGCCGTAGATTTGGAACGAGAAATCGCCGGAGGATTTTTGGGAGAAATAGACGGATTGTGAGGTTTTTTTTTATAATTTTTTTTAAAAAAATCATGACTTTTTATATTTTTCTAACGAAAGCGGTGGTAGTTTGGTAATTTGCGGGAAGATAGGTACAAGTAGACTGTTGTGGGCGCGTGCGGTGTAAACTAGGTGCTCCCTAATTATAGAGCTCTGAGTGCTCTATATATTAATTGATACAAACCAAACTTTTTCAAAATAAAAAATAAAGATAATAAATAATTTATAGAATGCGTATCCTCGTCACTAGTTAGAGCAAATTTGGGATGTGCAAAAATGTAGCAGAAAAAAAAATTGGAGATTTTATCGGGTCTTAACGAAGGGTAAAAGAGTCCCTCCAACTTCCTTTTGATATGTTTTTAAAAGTTGAGCAGATTTTAGACATTGGATCAAACTTGGAGGGTATTTTTTTAAAACTAGCCGAAACTAGAAACTGGTGTTCCATTAGAACGACGTCGCCGCCTTTTTTTCCTTCATCTTTTCTCATAAACCCTTCTAAAACCCTAGCCCCCTTCGGAATCAGTCGACCGATCATAATCGATCAGATTTTTTCTCCCTCACTGGGGAAAAAGCAGCAAAAGGAGAGAACCAGAACTAGAAGAATGGGGATATTCGAGCCCTTTAGGGCAATCGGATACATCGCGAACAATGTGCCTTTCTCTGTCAAGAGGCTTGGGATGGAAACCTTCGTCACTGTCAGCGTTGGCAAAGCCTGGCAAATGTTCAATGTAATTCCTCTTGGTTTTCATCATTTTTCTTAACCAGAAAATCTGGTCTTGGAGTATTCTTTTTTTTTTAATTTTTTTTTATCGCCTAAGCTTTCTTTTTCTCTCCCGTCGAGAATCTGTGTGCATATTTTGATGAGCTAAATTGTTCTGCTTCTTGCAGTGCGATAAGCTGAAACTGGTGCTTGTTGGTAAGTCTTAATTTCATTATTTGCTCTTCATTCTTATTCTTTTTGTGGATTTATTATTATTTTTTTCAGTTACTGTGGTTTATTTTGGATTATTAGAAGTTAAGTTTTTAGGAATTTTGCCATGATGAATATTGTGGGTTTGTCTTTGTAGTTAATTTCATTATGTGCTTAGGAATCATGGAAGAAGAGCATGGGCGTTTCTTTGCTTTTGAAATGATTCTAAGAGGAAATTTTGCTGGGGAATGGCTTTCTATAAAAGTAGGGAATTTTGATTGTTAGAAACAAATTGTTCAATTTTGCTTCCAGGATTAGCCATCGTGTTTTAAGATATGTGGTTTCCGTTCATTCATGAACTGGTCAAGTATTTTTCCAATTTTTTTTTTTAACAAAAATGTCAATTTAGTTCTGTTAAGTGTAATATCTCGACCTTACTTCTCAGCACAGTGCAGATAAAAGCAACTCAATCTGCAGTTCTGTAGCTGTTGTTTAAATCATTATATGAAGGCTTGTTAAGCATGCTAACTGGTGATACTTTTGTTTAAGGTCCTCAACTTCCTAAGAAGATACGAGCTCTCGCTTCTTATCGTTACTACACATTTGCTGCATATGGCAATCATATTGCAGTTTTTAAGCGTGTTCATCAGGTTTGTCTCTGAAAAGACTATCTAACTTTTTGTTTTATTCTGGTGAATTGTGTTATTCTCTCTCTGATTTCAGTATTTGAGAAGAAAAGCATCTTTTCCATGAGTTTTCCTGAGTGGGATTTCGTCTTTTATGGCTGCTTCTGATTTTTATTTTCCCACTAGTTCTAGGATATTAAAATCTGGCAATTTGCTTTCGCATTCCTGTAAAATGGGATAAATAACTTTAGTATGGATTGTCCTGTTGTTTTCTGGAATGGAACAGATTGCTAATATCAATTTCATATGTATACAGGTGGCAACGTGGAGCAAGCACAACGCTAAAGTTAACCACTTACTAGTATTTGGTGATTACATTCTTAGTCTAGATGTGGAAGGCAATATGTTTGCTTGGACATTTAAAGAAACTGATGAGAACCTTGCACCTCCTGTTGGTCCCATAGTCCTTGGAGAGAAGTTTAATCCTAGCTGCTTAGTGCACCCTGATACATACATAAATAAGGTAACTGAGGTCTATGTGTTTTACTTTTGTCTTTAGGCCTTCTTCTCTCTAGGGAACGTTACTTATGGTAAGAAGCTATGAACAGGTTGTTGTTGGAAGCCAGGAAGGATATCTTCAACTTTGGAATATTAGCACGAAGAAAAAGCTTTATGAGTTCAAAGGGTGGAATTCGCCTGTACTGTGCTGTGTTTCATCTCCAGCTTTGGATGTTGTCGCAGTTGGATGCGCTGATGGAAACATTCATGTGATCAATATCCGCTATGATGAAGAGATAGTTACGTTCAGTCATTCAACTCGAGGTTCTGTTACTGCCTTATCCTTCTGCACTGATGGTCAGCCCCTTCTAGCTTCTGGAGGTTCTTCTGGTGTCATAAGCATTTGGAATCTTGATAAGAGAAGACTACAATCTGTTGTTAAAGAGGCCCACGATTGTGCTGTAGTTTCTCTTCATTTTTTTGCAAATGAGCCTGTACTGATGAGTTCTTCGGTAGACAATTCACTGAAAATGTGGATTTTTGATACAAGTGATGGTGATCCTCGCCTACTGCGGTTTAGAAGTGGGCACAGAGCTCCTCCTTTATGCATTAAGTTTTATGCCAATGGGAGGCACATTCTATCTGCTGGTCAAGATCGTGCCTTTCGGCTATTTTCTGTTATCCAGGATCAACAAAGTAGAGAGCTTTCTCAGTGTCACGTGTCTAAAAGAGCCAAAAAACTGAAGTTAAAGGCAGAAGAGATAAAGCTGAAACCTGTCATTGCATTTGATGTTGCAGAAATTAGGGAACGTGATTGGTGTAACGTGGTCACTTGTCATATGGATACTTCTCAAGCATATGTTTGGAGGCTTCAAAATTTTGTTCTCGGCGAGCATATCCTTGCTCCATCTTCTGAAAATCGAACTGCAGTGAAGGCATGTACCATCAGTGCATGTGGTAACTTTGCCCTTTTAGGTACTGCTGGTGGATGGATTGAGCGGTTTAATCTTCAGTCAGGACTCAGCCGAGGCAGTTATATAGATGTAGCTGAAGGAATAGGTTGTGCTCATGATAATGCAGTTATTGGTCTTGCATGTGATGCGACGAACACCAGTTTGGTAACTGCAGGATATGGCGGGGATGTCAAAGTATGGGATTTCAAAGGACGAGCATTGAAATACACATGGAAAGTAGGCTGTTCCTTGGTTAAGATTGTTTATCACCGTGCAAATGGTCTCCTAGCTACAGTAGCTGACGATTTAGTCATTCGGTTGTATGATGTTATTGCGAACCGAATGGTGCGTAAATTTCAAGGTCATACAGATCGTATTACTGACATGTGCTTCAGTGAAGATGGAAAATGGCTTTTGACATCCAGTATGGATGGTAGCCTCAGAATTTGGGATGTGGTATTGGCTAGACAAATAGATGCCTTAGAGGTTGATGTGCCTATAACCGCATTGTCACTGTCCCCCAAAATGGATTTATTAGCAACTACACATGTTGATCAAAATGGGGTGTATCTATGGGTTAATCAGACAATGTTTTCTGGATCTTCTGATTCTGCATCATATGGGAGTGGCAATGAAGTATTATATGTCAAGTTACCCTCAATTGCTTCAGCAGAAGCAGAAGGTTCTGAGGAGAATGCCTCTGAGGCAGCTATTTCTAACCCTCCTCAACTTGAAGCTTTGAACTCATATTTAGACAAACAAATTCCCGATCTTGTTACTTTATCACTATTGCCAAAGTCTCAATGGCAAAGTTTGATCAACCTTGACATTATCAAGGCTAGGAACAAACCTATAGAGCCTCCCAAGAAACCAGAAAAGGCACCTTTTTTCCTACCTTCTATTCCATCCTTTTCTGGTGAAATATTATTTGAATCTGGCAAATTTGCTGATGAAGAGAAGCATACACAAGAGAGTGAAACAATAAACAAGAGGAAAAAGTCTGATCTGCAACAATCCCAGTTCTTGCGAAATCTACAATCATCTGCAGAAGTAAAAAATTGTAAGTCCATACATTGTTGTTTATAGTCATCAGAGGTCGAGTAGGATAGAGGCAATAATGCTTGCCTGAACTATGCCATTCATATGACATTAGCTACTTCACTCATACATGGTGATATATATTGCAATAGTTTACATGGGGAAACATGTAATTTCATTTAAGGGTTGTTCCATTGGGATTGTTATTTGGATTAAAAAATATGAGGTATTGAAATAGGTATATAATATGGATGCTTAGGTGGATGGTACCTTGAATATGCAAGTTTATTTTCTCTGGGTGAGGGAAATATGAGTTATTTACTGAAACCTTTCTTCTAATATACAGAATTATCAGAATTCTTCATCTGTGCTTGGTTCGAACCTGAATCCTAGTGGATTTTAGTGTCTTCGGTTCAACCAGCACAGGACTTCTATTTGTCACCTTCTTTGATTTTAATATGTCTAAATTGGAATTGGGTTAGGTGGTAAATCATCAGTTGTTTCTGGATTCATGAAGATCAATTCTGCTATGATACTCACAGGAATTTGTTTTTATTTGCAGTTGCAGCTTTCACCACATACATCAAAAGTTTATCTCCTTCAGCTTTGGACATGGAATTGAGAATGCTTCAGGTTATTGATGATATTGACGAGCTAGAACCAGATGAAAAACCTGAACTTTATTTTATAGAGCTGCTTTTGGATTATTTTGTGCATGAGCTTTCAAGTAGAAATAATTTCGAGTTCATTCAGGCAGTCATAAGAGTATTCTTAAAGGTAAAACTTGACATCCTTTGACAATGAATTTTCATTATTTATTTCTTGAAAAAAGGAATAATGGATCCATCAAAGTCTAAAATATGAATACATCTCATTATTGTGTGTTCCCCATATAATGACACTGTTATCCTGTCTTTCCCTGGGCAGATTCATGGTGAGATCATTCGGCACAATCCAAAATTACAGGATAAAGCATTAAAGCTTCTAGAAATCCAATCTACAATATGGCAAAGAGTTGATAAATTGTTCCAAAGTACCAGATGCATGTTGACATTTCTGAGTAATTCTCAGTTTTAAGGATCTTGTTAGGGGACATCTTCTGTTGTTGAAGAGTAAGTTTATGAGCTAATTTTGCAGTTTTCGCCATACCAGCTGCATCACCAACTCATTAACGGTATGGTTTGCGGCTAAGCTAAAGCAATGTTCTACTTGTATTGCTTTCTTTAAAGGCCTTCAGAAAGGGAGAGCTTCTGTCTGTTCTGCTACCATCTCTGTAGTTTTAGGACACAATTAAATATGTGAATGGAGAGTTTGGTTGGCAATTAGTGAATCACTGGCATTGGGCTATTGGGGAGAGTTACATGTGTATCCAAATGCATACCTATTGAGGCTAGTTCCCTGGAAGACTGGATTCAAATTTTGTTTCTGTGTAAACCTATGTATCTTTTGTGTTCGATATGTTTTAAGCTTTGGTTGAGGAGATCTGGAGATCAACTTCTGTAGTCTTTCGTAGACTTAGATACTGGTTTAATTGTTGTACTCTAGCTGTGTATTGCTGGAACATTGGAATTTTGCTGGTTAGGTATAATGCCAGTGGAACAGCGAGATTTGGCCTCTCTTTTAATCAATATCAACCACTGCTATTCTTATTTTTGCGACTGAAGCTCTAGCAGTTACGGTCATTTTCAGCTGCTGGTTCAGAACCGTCATCATTTGAGGCAACTTTGATGATTGCTGTTGTAGTTCTAGTAGCTCGCTATAGAACTTGTGCTAACCAAACACTGATCAACTAACACCATTACTGAGTTTTACACATTGAAGCTTGAAATAGACCTTAGTTCTTCTGTTCAACTATCTATATACAGATATTCTCTACCTAATCTTCCTCAGGGACATCTTCATGTGATGCTATAATCTCACTGTAGGATCTGCTTGAATTTAGTCAATTTCATAACCGTTAAAATGTTTTAACCAAATTGGTCACAATTTCTGCTAACTGCACTTATTTTCCCCATCGAATCTGACCTTCGCATAATCGGTTTGTTTATCACAAGTAAAAGAGTTGAGGCCCTTCAAACAAAACATCCTTTTTCCTTTTGATAATATACAAAACATCCTAATACACTTTCCTGCCCAAAGCCTGAAAACTAACTTACAGTAGCACACAACTGAATTGTGACAAGGTTATTTACATATTTGATGAAGTTTCCCTTATGTGCTTCAAGAGCATTGGCTTATTACTAACAATCTGCGAACTAATTTGTTCACAAAAATCGAAGTACAAATCACCCATAGTCTTCTTACTGCGAAGATAATGTACGGTAAAAAAGCACCAACAATGCAACCCAGTCCAAGGCTTAGATAGAACCATCCATCAACAAAATCAATTTCATTTTCATTTTCATTCTCATCTTGTTTTTTGACTCTGGATCCATTGCCAAAATCTTCACTGTGGCACTCCAACCCAAGAGGAGCTCCACAGAGTTCAGGATTTCCTATGAACGAAGACTCTAGAAATGTCGATAGCTGCCCTTTATAAGGAATCTGACCTGATAGATCATTGTTCGAAAGATTGAGAAAGCTCAAGAATGATAGTGAAGTCATACTGGATGGGATGACACCATAGAACCTGTTATGTGAGAGATCCAAGGATTACAATTGTCTCAAATTTGAAATGCTGCTCGGAATCTGGCCTGAGATTTGGTTTCTTGACAGGTTTAAGACCACCAAGCCAGCTAATTTTGTCAATTCCTCCGGGAAATCGCCATATAAGTTGTTTCCTGAAAGGTCTATGGCTGTCAGAAGCGAAAGAGTTTTGGTAAACTTCTGAAACTGATTCTTCAAGTTGACAACCAATTTCTCTTCATAATAAACACCCCTGTATGGTCCGTAAAAGAGATATTCTGTTCTCTTATGTTCTTGTACCATGGCTCCTAGGCTCCCAAAGCTTGCCGGGATTGTGCCGGTTAAATTATTTTCTGCCTGATCAAGAACCTGGAGTGAAGCTAAATTGGAAATCTCGCTCGGAATTCCACCCGAAAATGCATTCAGTCTGAAGCTGAGTATTCTGAGATCCATGAAGCTGTACATAAACCAGGTTGGAATACTTCCTGATAGTCTGTTGTTCCAACATCCAGAGTCTCCAAGCGCGACATATTTTTAAAGGAAATTGGGAGCTCATCCGTAAACATGTTGTCATTTAAATGCAATGACAGAAGCTGGTTCAACATTCCCAGAGAATCTGGAATTGTACCTGATAAGTGGTTGTTTCCTAGGTCTAGAACCTTCAGATAAGCACAATTTCCAATACTATTTGGGACCTTTCCAGTTAAATCATTCATGGAAAGATCAATGACTTGTAGTAATGACATTTCCCCGATTGAAGCCGGTATTTCTCCTGATAATTTGTTATTTGAACGGGAGAGGAATATCAAATCAGGCATACTTTGGCTAATATTTGGAGGGATAGGGCCCTGGAAATGATTGCTGGAGAGATCGAGTAACTCGATTTCCACAACAGGAAACGGAACAAATCCTGAAAGGAGATTAAAGCTGAAATCCACATCTGCGAAAGGAGCTACTTTCAGTGGATTTGGTAGCTGCCCTTCTAATTGATTGAAAGAAACATTTAACAAGGAAAGGTTTGAGGAGACATCCCAAAACCATGGAGGAATAGATCCTGAGATGCTGGCATTTGAAATGTCTAGGAAATTCATCTCCTTTTGAGATTCAAGCTAAGATGGAAATACAGGACTCAATTGACACGAAACTAGACCAAGATTCCGGATCTGGAAAGGAGGCTTCCAGTTAGAACTAACATTAAAAGTGAAGGAATTTCCAGAAAGAAGGACTATTTTCAGTTTAGTCAGCTGTGCAAAATGAGATTCAGAGAGAATGCCAGTCAACTGGTTGAAAGAAACATCAAGAACAACGAGCTCATTTAGCAGACCAAAAGTTTTGGGCAGAGTTCCTTGTAATTTGTTCATTGATAATCCAATGTTCCTCAATCTTTTCGCATTCCCAAGAGATGATGGTATGGTACCTTAAAACATGTTACCATCCAAGAAAAGAGTTTGGAGACTTTGAAGCTGGCCTAACCGTTCTGATAATTTACCAGGCATTTGATTATTGCTCAAATCTAGGTTAGAGAAATTAGCAAATGCATTGCCAGAAGTGCAAGTTTCAGCTCCATCAAGTAATTCTGGCAGAGTTCCTGTCATTGTTATCAGAAAGAATAAAACTTTCTAAATGGCAGAGTCTCCCAATCGAACTCGGAACACCCCCTTCAATACTATTCCCTGATAAATACAATATTTTCAGAGACCTCAAGTTTCCTATGGAAGAGAGAAGTTTTCTATGTAACTTATTAGAAGATAGATCAAGATATTCTATGCTTTTCCATGATTTCTGGAACAGTTCATGACAACTAGCACTAAGGTTGTAAGTTGAAGCAAGACTCAAGTATTTCAGACTTGAAAGCTCACCAAGGCCAAGTGGAATCCTTCGTCTCAGGTTACAGTAGGTAAAATCGACATATTCGAGTCTACTAAGGTTGAGAAGCCAATTTGGAAACATGGAACCAAAACTATTAAAATGAAGGTCTAAAACAGCAAGAGAAGTAAAATTGACGACATCGAGAGACGAAATGGAACAAGAAAACTGACAGGTAGCCAAGTGCAGCTCTATCAAATCAGGGAACATGTTTACGGCTTCCAACCAGTTTGAGTTGACAAGAGAAAGGTCCACCTGGTTCATCTCAAGGTGTTTCAATGAAACAAGCCTACTCACCCAGCTAAAATCATTGACACTCAAACCGAAGAAATCAGAAGAAACATCAAGATACTGCAATCTAGAAAGATTTCCTAGATTTCCAGGAATTATGCTACCAAATCCAGCATTTGACAGGTTTAAGTACTGCAGACTTCTTAAGGAACCGAAGAATTCAGGGATTGGTAAGCCTGAAAATGTGTTCCAACTCAAGTCTAAATAGCTTAAGGATTTCAACTTAAGCAATGAAGGCCTAATCACACCACTCAGGTTCCAAAATCCACACCTGGCAACCATAGAAGAACTCAGTGGTACCGGATTGCGAAGGTAAATCCTAACGACGGCACCTGTCTGTTTATCACTGACGAGTCCATATCTACCACTAGACATGGATCAGCCCAATCACTCCGTCCAAAGTCCATCCGACTGTGAAATCGGCGGTTTAATATTACTAAACCTAGTAATATTCGGATATTTTTAAGGCTTATAAATAGGGATGATTACTCAATTGAGGTACGCTATCTCTAGCACCAATTCATATATACACACTATTTCGCAATCCTATTTTCTGACTTAAGTTTCGGAGTGTCTACCCTTGGGAGGCCCTATGGCTCTGTTTTACAGGAAACCCTAATCGGAATTCCACCACCAATCCGGAGGCGCAATTCCAGACATCGTCAAGTGGCACGCTCAGTGGGACCCAAAAATTAGGGTTTGTGTCACAAAGCTTTCCCAAGCTTTCAGAACCTTTTCGATCCGCTGTCACCACTCCAAGCTAGGGTTTTTTCCAAGACAGGATGACCTTAATCCAGTACCGCATCAACCGATAGGCATGAAAGTCCCAACAATGATGAAACCCTAGCGGAATTCCAGGAGAGGCAGAAGCGGAAGAGATACGATCGGCAGTCAAAAAGAAAGAAAATCCCCACAAAGCCAACTAGTCATGGAGGTGAGGGGGAGGGAGATCCGAAAACCCATCGCAAAGTTCCTGATCCATACCAAAAACAGCGACTGGCCAAAATCGAAACGGAATTGAAGAATTTGAAAGACAACAATTCCTTTAACTAGAGGAAAAAGAAATATATATTAGAGGAATACCAACTTTGTTGCTTGCTTGGCCTCCCCGATCCCACGGATCAAGAGCTGGAAGATCTGGTCGAGGAGAAGGAGGCGATGAGGACGTTAGCCCTCCTCGAGGTGAGACGAGGAAAACGAAAAGTCCCGGGTGAAGGGGGAGAAGAGTTTCACAAGGAAGCCCGCAATCGCGAAACTTCTCGCGTCGAGCTCTCTGAAACCCCTAGTGATACCTTCTGGGACGATCTCGAGCGAACAAATCCGACAGTTTATGTGGCAATTGAGCAATTTGTAAAAGAACATGAACAAAAAAAATCAGTCTTACCGCCAGCCTAGCCCACGATCACCCAGTGTCGAGGAGTTGTCGAGAAGGAATTGGGACTCCCCTCCAAGAGGTAACGTTCACTCTCGACTGGGGCCTAAAGCTCCTCCGAAGAAGTCTTATCACGAGCACCGTGATACTCACTATAACTCAAGATACCTACCTTATGGTCATCAGAGGTACGACGTTCCATATCATGAAGAGCCCCAATTTGCTCGACAACGAGAGAACCAAGGCTACAAAGACCTGTCCATCCGCGACTCGATGAGAATAATGATAGGAATGATCGTGAATAAGAGTCCTTTTGTCCCACGGATTCGAGACTGTTCGAAACCTCAAAACTATGACTTTCCAAAAGACTTCGTCAACTACTCGGGAGACACTGATCCACAACGATTTTTGCACAAGTATGTGCAGGTCATGAGAATTTGGAACGCGTGTCTCTAACTCATGGCCAAAGCCCTACAATCCTTCCTCGATGGACAAGCACAACGTTGGTTTGGACAGTTACCGGAAGGAAGCATTGACAGTTTCGAGGACTTGTCAGTGAAACTAGCCACACGCTTCTTCCCAGCAAGCAAATTACAAAAATGTCAATTGACCTAGCGTCGATCAAGTAAGGACAGAACGAGAGTCTCTCAGATTTCCATCGCTGTTTTACTCGAGAATCTCTCCAAGTAGATTACCTCGATGACAGAGATGTCCAAAATGGATTTATCCAAGGCCTCAACCCATGGGTAAAGTCTGCTTACGTGCGAGTGAAGTTGACCACCAAACCTCCTCGAAACACATAGGAGATGTGGGCCACAGTAGAAAGCTATATCCAGTGCGAACAGATACTCAAGCGATTGCAAGAATCCTTCTCGCTTGCAGGAGATCGAGGGGGAAGGGACATGTACAAGTCGACGACGGAGAGTAAACCGCCCTTGCCTAGACTCGACAAGACCTTATTCCCGTTGTTGAAACCTCGACGAGAAATACTTCAGATTCACAAGGATGAGTTTCCCATTCCAAAACCATTAGCTCACAACCCAAATAGGTCCACGAGTCAGTACTGTGAATACCATAAAGACCACGAGTATGATACAGAAGATTGCAGGGAACTCAAGCGGGAAATTGAAGCCGGAGTCAAATCTGAAAAGTTTCAGCAGTATGTACAAAACACACAAGGTACTCCTCGAGAAAAGGGAGGGAAGTTCGCGGAACCCCGTAATTTCCCTAAACAGAATAATAACCGCGGCCCTCAAGGAGATAATCGAGGAACAATTGGCAACAAAGGAATAACTTGCAGCAGCCCGCCCAACAATCCCTGGACGGAGGGCCACAGCCGATTCAACAAGTTCCTCCTCCAGATCCAACCAAGTAGATCACTCACAACGTAGGAGCTATCTACGGCACGTCCCTTGAGGTCTTGTCTACAACAGCAATGAAAGCATCACTTCGAGAAGTAACTAAGAAACCACCTCAAGAACTAAGTCGCAAACGGTTCAAAGGGACGGAGGCAATAGTCTTTATGGACAGTAATGTTGTCCCGGGCATCTGTCCACGCAGTGATGCAATGGTTATCGCGGCCATCATAGCAAATGTCAAAGTAAGCCAAGTATATGTTGATAACGGAAGCGCGGTGGATATAATATACGGTGAGTGTTTCAAGAAGATGAACGTAAAAAATCCAGATTGGCGCCCCGCAACATTACCGCTAATGGGCTTTTCAGGACACACAATAATCCCTAGCGGGATTGTCAGGCTTCTTATCACAGTAGGGACGCATCCTCGAATGGTAACCTTAACAATAGATTTCGCCATAATCGATGCACCCTCACCATTTAATGTGATCCTAGGACGGCCATGAATGTGTCAGGCCCGCGCTGTTTGGTCACCATACCACTTGGTCATGAAGTTTCCAACAGAGTATGGGGTAGGAATTCTACAAGGAAGCCAGTGTAGTTCTCGAGAATGCCTGCTCACAGCGGTGAAAATCGGGAAGAAAACAGTAAAGTCAGAGTTGGCTATCACAGCGTCAGGGTGTTACTCTGTTCAACAAGGAGTGTCACCAATCAAATATAAAGGGGAAGAGCAGGACATGGATCTCGATCATCCCCAATAGCTACCACTGAGCAGCAAGACAGAAGAGTTGATCCTGGACGAGAAAGAGCTAGAAAAGACAATCAAGCTTGGAATATCTATAGACGGAATCTTGCGAGTCGAGGTAATTGCCTTACTACATGAATTTTGAGATATCTTTTCTTGGTCACCATCTGATATGACTGGAGTTCCTCGAGAAGTCATCGAACACAGGTTGAATGTCGACCCCAATGTCGAACTGGTCAAACAGAAAAAGAGAATTTTTGCCCGAGATCACAATGACGTCATTAACGAGGAAACGCTCAAATTGGTCTGCGCCAAGATTTTTCGGGAAGTCCTTTGGCCAACGTAGCTGGCCAACCCGGTCCTTGTCCGAAAATTGGATAATTCCTGGCGCATGTGTCAGGATTACACAGATGTTAACAAAAATTGCCATAAGAATTGTTACCCTTTGCATGTCATTGATCAGATGGTCGAGGGCATAACTTGTTTTAGAACACTTAGCTTCCTCGACGCATATAAAAGATAGAACCAGATCCTTATGGCTCGAGAAGATGCTGAGAAAACAGCCTACATCACAGAAATTAGAGTGTACTGCTACGATAAAATGCCATTTGGCTTAAAAAACGCTGGAGCCACCTATCAGCGTGTAGTCGACAGAGCTTTCCACGATCAAATCGGGCGAAACATTGAAATTTATGTGGATGACATGGTCATCAAGAGCAACCTAGACAACAAGGTAGTCGAAGACATGAGGGAGATCTTAACAATTCTTCGAGCAATTAACATGAAGCTGAAGCCAAAGAAGTGCACTTTTTGCGTCAGTTCCGGGAAGTTTCTGGGCTTTCAAGTATCAAAAGACAGAATAAGCGTTGATCCTGCAAAAGTCGAAGCAATTTTGTCTATGGAAGCTCCAAAACAGTCAAAGAGGTTCAAAAGCTTACGGGATCCCTGGTGGCATTAAACAGGTTCCTATCTCGAGCTGCAAAGAGGAGCCTCCCCTCAAGACGTTGTGAAAAGGGAGGAGTTTTGCATGGACTGAAGAGTGTCAGACCACCTTCCAGGACCTGAAAGAGCATCTCAAGCAGCTTCCCATGTTAGCTAAACCGGAACCGGGAGAAACCCTATACGTTTATCTGGCTGCTCGAGAAACTGCTATATCTGCGGTTCTCATCCAGATAAAAGACGGCAAAGAAATCCAAGTTTACTTTGTGAGCAAAGTTCTACAGGGGGGCAGAATCTCGATACACTCCCGTGGAAAAACTGATACTAAGTCTTGTGCTCGTTGCTCGACGGCTTCGTCCGTACTTCCAAGCTCACCTAATTCAGGTCTTAACTGAGCAACCTATACAGCAAGTTCTTCTCAAGCTTGAGGCTTCTGACAGAATGATAAAATGGGCCGTCGAGCTGGGGGAACACCATATTGCGTATAAGCCTATGATGGCTATAAAAGGGCAGGCATTTGCGGAATTCCTTGTCGAGACGCCCCGCGCTTCAGACACCATGCCGGGACCGCTACCAAAAACACTGCCGCAGAAACACACTCCTGTAGATCCTTGAGCTTGGACTCTTTACATCGATGGCTCGTCTTGTGAGGATGGGGGAGGAGCTGGGATTATATTAGCCAAACCAACTGCGCCACAGGAAATGGAGGAGATGAAAGAATATGAGGCTGAATATTCCTATACTTTGCGGTTTGGTTTCCCGGTAACCAACAATGTGGCTGAATACGAAGCAATGATAACAGGGTTAAACGTGGCTCTAAGGCTAGAAGTTCGGAATTTGGAAGTTTTTTAGTGACTCCCAAGTGATGATTAGGCAAATTGGCGGCGATTACACTGTCCTGGAAGAGCATCTCCGGCCATACCTTGAAAAAGTCCTCAAGCTCAAGGACAAGTTCGAGAAATGT